ATTCCCAGAGTGTCTGTGGTGAGGGACAGTTTTCGGTGTTCCCGGCCATCCCCAGAAGGGTTTTAAAAGCTCCACTTTTCTTGGTGGCTCCCAGCCATCCCCTTAGCTTGTTAGCCTTTTAGTGTTTGGTGGTAGTTTCCATTCACTAGAAGTGAGTCACTTTTAGCGGGTTATCCGAAAACGGGCAGCCCAGTTTTAGCCGTGGGATCTGGGAACCGCCCAGTTTGGTGCCGCGTGTCCGGAGGTACGAAGGCTTCTGGCAAAACGGCAAGCAGCACGGAGAGGGCCGCTACCACCATTTGGACCGGTCACTTGGGGCCAGGATACAGCGGTCTGTGGATGTGTCCCAAATTTGGGTGGGCCCCTACACACGGCAGGCTTCTTCTTCTTTCTCAACAGAACCATGCCATCCCATCCCAATACTTTTTGTACTTTGATGCATGGGTTTGGCTGTTGCTTGAGGCATTGTTGACGTCGCTGTTGCGTGTTCTTGGGCTTGCTTCTCCCGTTCCCAGTTGTGTATTTCCCAAAGACGAAGCGCTCAACAGGGACTTCGACTGCAGCTACGGTCACCTCCAAAGGTGCAGGACAATACATATATTTTGTATACAACAACTTGACTCATGGTGCCCTGTGATTACCAAACTACGTGGTCGCGGAGCTTCACCGGCCAAAAAAAAGAGCGATGCTTCTTCTCCGATTTGGGTGCAAAGAACCAGCTCAAAGTAGGGTGGCCCAGCTGAAACAGATCGTCTCCTGGATTTCTGTGGATTTTTATGGACTTCACCCATTTTGGGGGACTTTGAGAAAGCCCAAATCCAAATAGACGCAACCTCTGGCTTCCGGAGTCATTTCGTTCAAGATTTGGCTTGCTCACAAACACAGGCCAATTTGTGCGAATTGCTTCGGTGACAACTTGTGTGCCGCCAAAAGCAGGGGAACGACAATACATATATATATATATATGCATATACATAGATAGATACGCACGCACGCCAACCGTCCGAGCATCTTCTATGATGACTCAATGATGACCTCAGAGAAAGCAAGGCAGCCTGGTCCACACACGTAGGACGTCGCAGTAGTTTTGCTTGGCGGCAACACTTAAATGTCAGTTTGCTTTCCTGAAAATAGTCTAAGTAACATTGAAGCTTCACTGCTCGTGGCACGTGTGCGTGTGTGTGAGGTGTGCGGGTTGGTGTCTTGCACTGTTAATATGCAGACTAACACCGTTGTTTGCAACGCCACCGGGGATGGATTGTCGCCATTCCGTTCGGACATTTATCCCAAGATGGCAAAGCGATACTTGAATGTGGAGGTTCCAGTAGTAGGGGTCCCTGAATTTCCGACTTGTGGCGTCCAAACGTTGCGGTAAGCTCGTTCAACCGCATTGGGAAGAGCATGTCATTTGCAGATGTATCTGGCGCACACGCAATAAGCCTTGAAGGATCGGACCCGTGTGTTTGTGTGTGTGTGTGCCAAAGGTCGATTTGCGGAGCAAAATCCTGTTTTGTTGCGAAGATGCTGGACTATTCCAACTGTGACTCTTTTAGAGCGACCCCGAAACGATTGGTTTCCCATTTGCTTCTACCAAACAAGGGGTACCAACTCCAAATATTCGGACACACCCAGATTCTGGTTCAAAATTAAAGAGCTAGGGCTACCCAATTTTGAGTCTTTAGTTCCATTTGCCCAGGTGCCATTGTTTTTTTTTTCCCCCGAGTGGCTCGGATGGGAAAACGGGAGCCATGGGAGCGCTCGAAGAGATCTCCAGGATGATACCTCCCTTCTGGCCCGCTGGGATCAGGGCAAGCGCTTGGTCGGGGCCCGAGCTGCTTGCTCCGAGGAGGTCAAAGTATCTCTACCAGACCCTGGCAGACCAGATGTTTCTTTTGGGGGGGCCAAGTAATTATCTCAGGGGAGGGATTCTTTGAGCAGATGACCGCCTGGACCCTGAAGCTACCCTTGAAAAGGGTAATTCGCAGCCACATCTTTCGGATTTGGGTCCAGGCGTTGTTTCGGGCTGTTTCCTTTGGTTCCCTACCAAACTGTCTATCGCGTCTCTGGAGCAACGCTGGGTGTCTCAGTTGCGAAGCCCCCAGTCGCGGGGAGTGCACCCGGTGGGGGGGGGGCACCTGGGAGGCTTGTTGAAATCAGGGCATGGAAAACCCACTGTGATACCAGCAAATCACGGCAAGCACTGTCTTTCCTAAGGTACAGAACCCAGGAAAACGAAACGTTTCGTTTAGGCGTACCTTCAAACACCAAGAGGGTTCCCTGGTTTTTCAGAGAATTCATCGTGAATCTCCTTTTAACACAGCCTTGGCGCCTTGCTGGGCTTCGCTCAATGCAGGAAGCCATGATCAAAAGTATCCCAGGCGTTGTTGAAAACTGGATAGGTTTGTCTCCAAATGGGAAATGGGGGACGCCCCCCCCCAACAGCAACAAAAAAGTGAATTCCATGTCAATGTGGTTTCGCTTCAACTTCACCCCTCCCCCCCCCCCCCCCGGTTCCCCCCCCAAAAAAAAGAGACAAAAACAAATAACACAACAATGTCTCCGCATAATTTCAACAAATACACATTCTGTACACATGTCTGCGTTACCTGCAACGATCTTGGGGCTCACATGTGCTGGAGTCCTGGAGTTTGGCACATCCCTCTCAATTCGGGTGTCGTCCGCCGCCTTGTTAATTATTCTTGTAGGTCATTTGATGTCCTAAAGCTACTCAGGTTGAAACCGGAAGCTTCGCAGGGTCAACAAAAATGTTCGGAAGCTGCGCAACAGGTTTTTTTGTTTTGTTAATCCATCCTTCCCGCTCCTGGAAGACAACCAGGTGGGGGTTAATCAAAAGGTCAGTGATACATGGAATGACCAGTGGGGAGGGAACACCACCAACAAGATTCGATATTTCAACCACGAGCTGGGGAAAAAGGCATTGGTTGGAAACCCACCAAAAAGATTCAAGTGACGCATGGTCAAAACTGGGGGCCCCCTCGCTGGGCTCCAAGTGACTCGACACTCGCCGAGGAGTGGCTGGAAGAGGAGACGCCTGAGTAGGATGGAGTGGTTCTGGTCAAAGACCTTATTTCAGGTTGGTGACATATGAAAAAGAGTCACCCAGAGTCAAAATCCATGGTGAAGAAATAGTGATGGAACCATCCAAGCCACCCATTCCTCATGGTTGTTGTTGGGAAACATTGGACACATGTTTTTTGCTTATTGTGGTTTAGTATATAGCTGAAATCCAACCACTTGACTTCTAAAAATTAGAAACAAATGTTTGCTCCCCGAACCTCCCCCTTCAACCAAGGTGTTTGGCCCCTCCAAAAGTGAGAATTCCCCACTGAAAGCTGACACCCCTCACCCCTGACCTCCCGTGTGTTTTTTCAAAGTTCTTCTCACTGCCTGAGTCGGACCATGGGCCCTGGCTGGCAAGAAGGAACCCCAGCCTTTTGGGAGCGCAAGTGTTTTGCATTGGTCCCCCGGTCCCAAAGGGAAGTCGTGCCAACTTTTACCTTTTGGTTTTCCTTTTTTGGCGGAGGGTTCCCTTACTAGAATAGACTACAGAAAAAAGGGTAGCCTATTCTAACCTCTACTGGAGCTAGTTGTTGAGGGCACCCTTCTTAAAGTTTCAACACCCCAAACAAAAACAAGCAAACAATCAGGGGTTTGGGAACCCATATCCAATCTCAAAGGTTGTGCCATGATGATATGGGGGTGTCATTTTTTGGAATCGGCCCCCATAATTTTGGTGGATTTAATTAAGATATTAATCAAAGGGATGCCGCAAGGAAAACTGCCAGCTTGGGGGGCAAGCTCATATCTGCACCTGGGTCCAACTTTCATAAGTGGAAGGGACTAGTCGCCCCTTTAGTTGAAAGCCGCTTGGCCCCCAAAGTCTAGGTCTAGGTCCGCACTTATGCCAAACTCGCACCAGTGGGCAGGGCTAAAGGACCACGCCGGACTCGTCCCCCAAAATGAGCCACTGTGAGCACTGGGAACCGCTTATGGTGACTGGAGAGCATATTTGTCTCACCGAGCGATCGCTTCGATGAGCCCCAAACCATGGGGCGCCGCCCAAAGTGGTGGCAATGTGTTGCGAGCGCGGAAAGCGAAGGAGATCTCTTCGAACTTCGCCCGAGGATTCCCCTGGCTACCTTTGATGGTTTACCTGGAAGCACTGGGTGTAAATCCTAGAGCCAGAACTCATTTGTTGGGCTTGGTATTCTTTGGTGCATTTTGAGAAGGGATGTTAGGACTGAAAACCTTTTTGCCAAATGGGTTTTCCGTATTAAACCACCAAAAGTTAAACTTTTAGCAGGGGGGCAGAAAGCAACCGCGTATTCCTAGTATAGCTAATGCACCCAACTACATGGCGACCGGAAGACCCTCCGTGTGCTCTTTCGGTATCTTTCACATCAAGTCAGTTGTAGCCGACTGCAAGTCGGTGTGGAGATTTGCAGGTTTTTGCAATGATGAGCTCAAGCAGCGCACTTGTTCAGATCAACTGCCTCATGAAATGAGACACTGCCATTTGCCGGGATCAAAAGGCGGTTTCATCTTTCAGTATCTCCTGCCTTGACTCATTGACATACGGTACATCTTCGTTTGGTTTCCCTTGCAATGCTCCCAGAAGGCTCGTTTTTTTTTGTTTTGTTTTTTTCTCGAGAGGACATATGGTAAGTGTTCCTTTGGTTTCCCTTGGAACTGCACCAGCCAGACATATGGTAAGGGTTCCTTTGGTTCCCTGGAAATGCAGCCAGACATATGGTAAGGGTTCCTTTGGTTTCCCTGGAAATGCAGCCAGACATGTGGTAAGGGTTCCTTTGGTTTCCCTGGAAATGCAGCCAGACATATGGTAAGGGTTCCTTTGGTTTCCCTGAAAATGCAGCCAGACATATGGTAAGGGTTCCTTTGGTTTCCCTGGAAATGCACCAGCCAGAAGCCTCGTTTTTTGTGGTTGACTCTGTGCAGGCCTTGCGTCGGGCGTCGCTGCCGTTGGCTTCTAGGGGTGCCCCACTTTGGGCTCGCAGTGAGGCGGGCGCGCTGGCGCGCCAGCAGCGAGCTGGGTGGGTTTGGGTGGTTTGGGTCCCCCAAAATCGTTCCCTTTTACCGTTTCTTTTTTGGGGGGAGGGATCCCCTACTAATTAAAATCGACTACAGAAAAAGAAGGGTAGTTAACTTATTCTAACCTCTCTACTCAAGAAACTAGTTGGTGGTTTGGGGAGTGGCAACCCCAACCCCTGGTTCTTGTAGAGGGCAAATGGGAAACCTCTCCTTACCACCGACTTGGGGCAGTCATTCAAAAGAAGAAAATCCAACGCGCCGTGGTAGTTGGTAAATATCATCCATCCAGCTGGACAAACCTTGCTTGCCAGTTTAGGGTTGGCGGTTTGTCAACCATTCGCGACCCCAAAATGAAGCAGAGTTGTATTTGTGGGGTGTGTTTCTCCGAAAGTGGTGTGAAGCCAACTAAAACGGGGACAACTAGAGGTCAACACACCAATCTTCTAGCCATGTCAACGGGCTTTTTATGGATCCAGGGTTCCACTGGGGACATTCTTTTGACGGTTTCTGGGGGTTATCAAAGTCGGGTGGTTTTCCTTTAACCCACCACTTAGGGGGTTACTTTGATCATGGTAAAATTATGAGGCCAGTTCTATGCGGGGGTGTTCAGGCCATTTTTCGGGCTTCCTCCCTCCCTCCCTCAGCGCCAGGCTGCATGAGAGGTCCCAACTGCCCCTGGAGCATTTGAGCCACAATCAAAACCCGGGTAGATGAAGGTTAGTAAGGGGCAGTCCCAGCCAGAAATAGGTGCGGATCTCCGCCTTTCTAATTCTTTACATGGTTGTACCAGTTTTTCATTGTGACTCATTTGGGATCTTTCGAGGCCATGGCAGAGCCAGTCGCGAGCTGAGTGCACTGGGCGCAAAGGCGATTCGCCGTTTTCACTGGTAGATTCCGGTGTGGGTAGCACGTCATTTTTCGGAGTTGGTACCCCTGCTTTTGTGGTTTTGATGGGGAACCAAAGAAAAACCACAACTTTGGAGCGTCCGATTCCTCAAGAAGCCACACCCATTTGTTGTTTGTTTTGTGTTTAGGGTTTCAAAGATGGAAGTGAGGAAGTCGATATTCCGGTGATTTCAGGAGGATTTGCCTGACTTCGATGCGGAGGACATGGGAAGCGCTCACGGGATGTGCGACCGATTGTCCTGAGAGATGCCACTGCTTGCGACATCACCGGAAGTCCGTTTGAAAGTGACACAATCATCATGTGGCTGGCCAACTTCAGTAGGACAGAAGGGTAGTTTCCTCAAGTTTGTTTGTTGTTTCCCCGGTTGGTTTGAAGAGACATCTACCACTGTTTTTTGGTTCCAGGGACTTAAACAAGTGGAAGGTAGTTCTATCTTCAACCCTGGCCGCAGTTTTGTTGCGGTTGGTTGTCGCCTTGCTTGTGAGTTGCCATTGGCTGAAGGAGGGCATTGGCACGGAATGGGTTGTCAGTGACCATGTCATGGCGCCGTCAGGCTGCTTTTGGTTGCCTGGAGTCATTGGATCGAGCTAACACAAGCCACCGAACACACCCAGAGGGTCACAGAAACTCGCTTCCTGAGTTGGACTCTAGTAAATTGTTTGACCATGTTAGTGGCAGCCAAGAAGCTTGGTTGATGTTTTTTGGCGAGCCAGGCAGCAAATAATGTGAGCAAGCCAAGTTTCAGCCACCGCCTTGCTCATGGCGCCATCCGCCAGACCAAGGCCAGGCAACGACTTCGATGCTTTGAGACAGCATAGGTCCCAAAACGAGCTAGTGGTTTTCTTTCTTGGGTTGTACTTTGTTCGTTCGGTTGGTTTCTTGCTTGGTTGGTTGGTTTCTTGCTTGGTTGTTTGGTTTCTTGCTTGGTTGCTTGCTTGTTTGCTTGCTTGGTCGCTGGCTTGGTTGTGGTTGGTTGGTCATTTGCATTGGTTGGTTTTCTTCCCAGCAAGTTGTTTCATCTCCGCTCCATGCGGGAGGTCGCAGCCGTCAAGACGCGGAGTTCGCGCTGCGAACGCAAAACAGCGGGTCGACAAGAAATCCCAAGAAGGAATCTGAGACAATCCATGTTAGATATCATCAATTGCCCCAAATTGGAGACTACATGTGGGTATACAGTAATATACATATATATATATGCATATATATATATATATACATGTATATATATATATATGTCTTGCCTACATGGATTGTTTGGGGTTTTGGCGACCACGCCAGGCACTACCCCTTCCATGATTTGATCAGGTCGATCGAGCGATTCGGATGTCTTTGCGAAGGCAACAGAGGGATCGACGCTCCTTGCGGATGCTCAACTAGGTCCCCCAGGATCGTGCCCTTTTATTTTACGATTTTTTCGGGGAGGGTTCCCCGACTAAAATAGACTACAGCAAAAAGGGTACCCTTATTCTAACCTCTTTACTGGAGGACCTAGTCAAACCTGGGCGAAATCCGCTCGAACTGAAGCCATTTGATCCTTTCAAAAGACGTCTCGCGCGCTTTCTGCAGGAAGCACTTTGTGGTGGTGCGTGTTGTGTCTTGTGTGTTGTGTGTTGTGTAGTGTGTGTGTGTGTGGTGTTTTGTGTGTTGTGTCTTGTGTCTTGTGTCTTGTGTCTTGTTTGGTGTGTGGTGTGTGGTGTGTGGTGTGTGGCGTGTGGCGTGTGGTGTGTGGTGCGTGGTGCGTGGTGCGTGGTGCGTGGTGCGTGGTGCGTGGTGCGTGGTGCTTGGTGCGTGCTGCGTGCTGCGTGCTGCGTGCTGCGTGCTGCGTGCTGCGTGCTGCGTGGTGTGTGGTGTGTGTGTTTGTGTGTGGTGTGTGTGTGTGGGTGGGTGTGGGTGTGGGTGTGGGATTGGGTGTGGGTGTGCGTGTGCGTGTGCGTGTGCGTGTGCGTGTGCTTGCGCGTGCGCGTGCGCGTGCGCGTGCGCGTGCGCGTGGGCGTGGGCTTGGGCTTGGGCGTGGGCGTGGGCGTGGGCGTGGGCGTGTGCGTGTGCGTGTGCGTGTGGGTGTGTGTGTGTGTGCGCACCAGTTTGTGTTTGTGCGTGTGTTTGTTTGTGCCTGCGTTTGAGGACTTTTGAGGATATCGGATACCCTTTTTACCCGTGTTACCATAATTTAAGGGTAAACGCCATTTGCCATGTTTCCATTTGGCTACACACGCCCACCTTTTCTTTGCAGGCCCAGCGCGAGGGCTGGAAGGTGGGGACGGGCGCTTCGACATGAGACCAACAGAGGCTCAGTTGCCCAAAGCGAATGGACCTGGTGTGACCGTTTGCCTTTTCCCTTGGGCCATGTTTAGTCATCTGGGTCCCCCAGTAGGGCCAACTTTTTCCAACTTTTTTGGGGGAGGGTTGCCCTACTAAAATAGACTGCACCCTTATTCTAACCTCTCTACTGGAGGACCTAGTCATGGCCCCAGAAGGTGTTCGATCACCTTGTATTTTGCCGGATTTGTTGGGCAACGGAGGCAATCGTGCACTCTTTTTGACGTTTCTAACGCCTTTGGTTACCCCCTCGAAGTGGCGACTTTGGTTGTGTTCAAGAATATGCCCACCCCCCCCCATCCCCCCTCCTCTCGAACCCCCCCCCTCTCTCCCCCCCTCTCACGCCCCCTCCCCCCGCAACAAACACGGGCGGCAACATCCCCCGTTGCGCCGCTCGGAAACCCACGCGGAGCGTCGGCGCTGGCTCGGCTCGGCGCGCAGGCCCTGGCGGCATCCGGAGCTGCCGGTGCTGCGAAGCAGCAGCATCGCAGCAGGCGCTTTTCACCGCCGGAACCGGCGGAACCAGAACCTCAGTTGTTCAGTGGCACCATATTTTTGTTCCTCCTTTTGTTTGGTGGCTGCCCCACTGAAAATGGTCTTCTCCAAAAAGGGTCCCCTTTTTTTCCAGGGTCACTGAACAACTGGAGCATGTAAAATGAGCAGACAGACACAGGTTGTCTCCCACACAGAAATTCGGCACCCTCCATTTGCTGAAGTGATCAATATACAGTTTTACTGTTTATTTACCCCCTCTTGGTTTTAAAGGCAATCGATTTTACCACTGGGCATATTTGCTATTTGTTTCCTGCGGACTTAAGCAAATGGAGGCTTAGGGTGGTCGTGGCCCAGTGAGTGAGAATCGGTGTAGGGCTTATGAAGATCTTCACTGTGGGGCCAATGACCGTTCCAGACACAAGTACGAATGTCCAGGGCTCAAATATGTCCTGTTGCTTTCCCTTGAACACCAAGCCAAAAAAAGGACAGACCTCAAAAAAGGACAGACCCCTTGGCTGTATCCGGGTGTGCCTTTTTTTAGGGCACACCCCAAAATGTGTGTGTGTGTGTCCTGTTTGATTTCTTTTGAAACCAACCAAGAAAAGGGTTCGAACCAGCGGATCCTGGAATCCTATTTTCAACAATGACGTCAGGTAGTTGTTGTTTATTGTTTTTTTTTCCATGGAATTTCTCTGGAGCAAGTGGGGTTGGTCAACTTACAGCCATGATTGCAATCTACTTCCGTGGCTTGAACACCCAAGCACCAGTTTCCTCTAGGAATCGGAAGGTTGCAAATCTTTCTGGCTCCCGGCCATCCCCTTAGCTTTTTAGCCTTGTAGTGTTTAGTGGTAGTTTCAATTTAACCCACCAAAAAATAGTCACATTTAGCGGGGGATCTGAGGGTAGCCCAGAAATGAGCCTGGCAGCGACTCAACGAGCGGGAAAACAAACAAAATCAGATCGCTCGCAGCCTCCAGGTCAAGTTTGCGTGCAGAAGCTGGAGCCTGAGTGAGTTCTTAGCTTTAAGCTTTGCACCCTCTTCCCATGTCCTGTGATTTATTTTTCTGGGTGAGGTGCCAGACTCCAAGTGCTGGTCCGTTTGTGTGTGTGTGTGTGTGTTTTTTTTGCGGGGGCGGGGGGGGGGGGGCAGCTGCTTCAGATTTGTTCATCCCCTTCATGGTGAAGCTGGAAAACGGGCAGTAGCCATCCGAGAAGTTTGTCGCTGCAACAGAGCAGCTTGCGACCATGCGTCAGGCTGGCGTCAGGCACGTGTGTTGTTTGGTTGTTGGGTTTTTCTCAAGAACGGGGGACCCCTGTTTGGAATTGTTTGGATGTGCTGTTTAAAGGAAACTAGAAGGAACCCACCTACCAGGCGGGGTCCCCAATTTTGAGAAAGACCCTTTTGTGTTGCTTGTGTTCAAATGCAAAAGTAAAGCGGTTGTTCGACCATGCTGGCCATGTCCTTTGCTGTTTCAAGGGTAGGGCACTGCCCTTATGCCAGCTTTAAAACCCTGAACATGTCATCTGGTCTTTTGACTGACCTCTTTGTTGACTCAGGCGGATTTCAGGGTCGCCTTCAAGAATTATGTTGTACTTACCACAGGGTAGACAAAAGCTGTATTAAAGTCAGAGAGACGTGCACGTTTTGTGCCTTTTGATGCGCCTCCGTTCCCTCGGATCCCGATGGATCTCGAGCTGCCGAGGTACCTGGAGGATGGCAGGGACTGGCGGAAGGTCTTGCTGCATCCCCGGAGTCGGATCGGTCGGCCGCGTCGTTTGGCGGCCGGTGGTGTTCAAAGCGGAAAACCCGACGCCGGACGTCTTAAAGGGGGCCAATTCCTTCCAAAACGCACAGAGACACAGACACAGACACAGATGCAGACGCAGACACAGAGACAGAGACAGACACAGAGACACAGACACAGAGACAGACCCAGAGACACAGAGACACAGAGACACAGAGACAGAGACAGACACACACACAAACACACACACACACAGACACACACACAGACACACAGAGATACACACAGACACACACAGACACACACGCACACACAAAACCCGACGCCGGACGTCGTAAAAAGGGGGCCAATGCCTTCCAAAACACACAGAGACAGAGACAGAGACAGAGAGACAGACACAGAGACAGACACAGACACAGAGACAGACACAGACACAGAGACAGAGACAGACACAGAGACACAGACACAGAGACAGACCCAGAGACACAGAGACAGACACAGAGACAGACACAGAGACACATAGACACACAGACAGACCCAGAGACACAGAGACAGACACAGACACACACAGACACACACACACACAGACACACACAGACAGACACACAGACAGACACACAGACAGACACACAGACAGACACACA